AAACTAATCCCTTTGGAATTTTCACAGGAGGCTTTGTCATCTTTCATATAAATCCGCAAGATGATCGGTCCACGTGGAACTTGTTTCCTCTCTCAAATGGAATCCAGGAGTTTCGTCAACTCCCAAACCAAAGTTGACCCTTCATCACTAAAAGCTGGTGGGGAAAATCCGTTCGGACCAAAGGTTTATTGCCTTTTGAGATAACGTATTTCACTGGTAACCTCCATTTCGGATGGGGGACTTTCATCAACTGGCAGTAGTTCCCCAGTTGAAGCAAGCATTGAAATCGAGTCGGCGAAGGCCAGCTGAACCGCGCCTCGACCTCGTAGATGTCGACAAAACTATGAAATGTCGCACCACAAAATGTGATAGACAAAAGGCATGCCAATATTCAAGCGAGTAAATAATCACTGGAATACGTCGTTCCAAAAGAAACAAAGCTGACGTCTATGGTAAAAAGATCTGTGGAAGAGGAAGCTCACACAGGATGACCACACGCAATTCTAACAATGAAGAAACTGATAATAATTTGGCTGCAGTGCACGCGTGCGCAGTTATACGTGCATGAAAATAGATTGGCTCGCAACTAAGTTGTTTTTATCTATCACAACTCACTCAATTGTATCTATTGCTTCATTTCACATCACCATAAATGAAGCAGGTTACTTTTCTGACCCTGATAAAACCGGTCTTCTTATATATCACATTTTTTCAATCAATTGCATCAGAGTTCGTAAGAGTGAAATTTGTGAATTAACATGTAAAAGTCTGTCTAGAAATGAAGCAAATGCAAGCGGCAACATCTGATCATGCTTCACAGGCTTTGTGAAAGTATACCGTGATCGTTGAGAGTTCACGCACACGGAACTTTATGGCTTTCATTAGATATCCGTAAATAGCTTGTATCGGTCATTGGCCCCACGTTGGTGGCGTTGGTTAACCAACCACTGACTGCGTGCAAATCCCTCATTAACCATAATTTTGCAGTCAGCTGTCTGCCATTCGGAGGAGTTCATGTTTATCCTGCCAGTTATCGCCCGGTCTGTTGGATCTACGTGAATTGTATCAGAACTATGGTTGCCATGTGGCTATGGAAACACTTCCTTTCGAATGCATTCCTTTGCACTGAGCAATATGGATAGTGAACATCTGTAAAAGCCAAGAATCACAACCACCTCGACGAACAGAAGGATCTTTGGGTTTTCAGGTTGGAAAATGATCTGAATAACATTGAGCTTGTCAATACAGTATCCGTTATCGAACAAATGTCATAGCAATGTGCCTACGGGATATTAAAATCCCGCGATGCAATGTTCTGGAGTGTGCTCACCTACTCTTTTTTCGGCAGTTGGCGTTCAATTCTTCCTCAGGTACAGTGAAAGGAAAAAATGTGATCGAGAATGACTAAACCGTTGGATCTGTCTGTTTTTGCTCGTGTTACTGGGCTAATTGTACTCTAAACCGTGATCAGTGTCGCCATAGGATAGATACGCTCAGCTGCAGTACTTTTTTGACAGTCAATCCTTGCAAATGCATGGTCTACTTTGAATAGCACAATAATTAAAATGGAGTTCCTTTTAGATAGCTGGATTTTTTTTTACCAAGGGATGATGGTTGTTATGTTGCGTGTGTACAACTAACCAGGGGCAGCCATTATTACACAAATTATTGGTCAATCGATCAGTTCCCAACACGTTCAGACTACACAGGGGATGCATTATATATAAAAGATTCTTATTAATCCGCTTTTGTGATTTACTGTGACAAGAGCTTTGAAGATGTAAGTACTACCCTGTCTATGTACACTTGTGATGAATTGATATCTAGAGGGTACGACCGTTCAGCTTAGTTGATAACAAGTCTATGAATGGTTATAAACCATGAATTTCACATATCAAAGTGAACCTGATATTCCTGTGCACATCGTTCAGTTATTCAAATAAAACCTTACTATTTGCCTTGTTTGAAGTTTCGACTATTGTGTCATTGATATGATGGTGGTAGGGCATTACGCTTTTAATCTTGATATCAAGTTTTTAAACATTCAAAGATTCAAAGATTTATTATGGGAATAACTTACAAGCTCATGCTTTTCTGGTCCCATAGGTTCGTGCGGTGGATTAGGAAACAGTGATACATACAAATCTTCTTGCAAAATGCCAGGTGATACGTGCGTTTTCCACTGCTTTACGCA